CAATGTTTCAAATATTGTAGAAATGGTCAAGTGAAGGTAGTCATAGCGGATGCTAAACCATTTACTACTGTAGAGGCACACTTAGTTGATGATAAGTTCTATTTTGAAAGTACTTTTATGGAAAAGGTACAATTTAAAGGCGATCAGGGAAATGATGAAGGACAATCATCAAGGGAAAAGGGAGAGAAACCGTCTTCATCTACAAAGGAAAATAATGATCTTATCAAAGGCTTAAAAAAATTGACTTTGCCACTTACTAGTCTAGAAGAGTCAAAATTCGTCAAGTCTCCATTGAAGAGATTTATGAGGCCAACAAATGGGCCATTGGTTGAAAATGTTGATCTTTCCTCTCAAAGAGCTAATGGTTTCAACCTTAATGCTTATAAGCTCCTAATAAGGGCTGGGTACAAGCAAGAAGAAGTTTCTAAGTTGGTACACGAGCCTAGTGAACCAACCAAAGAAACTTCACAAGATCCTTCCAAGAATCATAGAGTTTGGCAAAAAAAGACAAATGATGTTAAAGCTACAAAATCAAGGTTAGGATTTACACCATTAAAGTTGAAGATTCATAAAAAAGCCTCAAGATATATAACGACTGAAGAAGTCAGCGATGAGGAAGAAACCCCAATGGAGTCATCTAGACTTTTAGTTTTCAATAGCTTGGGCATAGCCATGACTCGAACTTTAGTTTTTGATCGATTAAGCATGCCTTTAGATCAAGGTTCAGTGTTTAATCACATTAAGAAAGATTCTACAAAACAGACTTTAAGAAGTTTCGTCAGTTTAAGGCTAAAGGGAAATCCCATACGAAAGAAGAATAAAAAAGGCCTTATGACACATGAATTAAAGGATTTTCATAGCATCATCCTTTCACGAATGAAAAGAAAATGTAAATTGATTGTAACAAATAATGAAAACATTAAAGGCTAGAAGGCGCACTGTGGCTGTGACTAAACAAGCCTTATCTTCAAAAGAGGAAAAGCAAGAAAAAATGGAGATTTTCACATGTAATTATGTGTCTATAGTAGAAAGTGATGAAAAATCTAAAAAAGAACATATCCAAGAAGCTCTTCCATCATTAGAGGAAGGAAATCGGCCTACGACTGATGAATTAAAAGAAGTTAATATAGGCACTACAGAAGATCCTCGTCTAATCTTCATAAGTGCTAGTTTAACTTCTGAAGAAGAAAAATCTTATCTTGACCTTTTGACAAGGTATCGAGACGTCTTTGCATGGGCTTACAAAGAAATGCCAAGATTGGACCTTAAAGTTGCTGTGCATCATCTAGCAGTAAAGAAGGGCGCTTGACCCATTAAACAAGCACAACGACGTCTCCACCCTAATTTAATTCCCCAAATAGAGGCTGAAGTCAATAAACTCATTAAGGCTGGCTTTATTTGAGAAGTCAAGTACCCTACTTGGATCTTAAATATTGTTACAGTTAGGAAAAAGAATAGCCACAATCAAGTTTGCGTGGATTTTCGAGATTTGAATGATGCTTACTTAAAGAATGACTTCCCTCTCCCTTTGACAGAAATAATGGTGGATGCAACAACTGGCCATGAGGCTTTATCTTTTATGGATGGCTCCTTTGGTTATAATCAAATTCGCATGGATCCAAAGGATGAAGAACTCACTGCATTTCAAACTCCTCAAAGAATATACTGTTACAAAGTTATACCTTTTGGGTTAAAGAATGTAGGCACCACTTATCAAATAGCAATGTCAAAGATATTCGACGATATGCTACACAAGAATGTTGAATGCTATGTGGATGATTTAGTGGTTAAGTCCAAAAAGAGAGTTCATCATTTTGAAGATCTATACCAAGTATTTGAGAGATTACGTCGATATCAATTGAGGATGAATCCCTTAAAGTGTGCCTTTGGAGTATCTTCAGAAAATTTTTTAGAATTCATAGTGCACCATCATGGGATTGAAATTGATCAATCAAAAATAGATGCAATCATGAAAATGCCTGAGCCAAACAATCTCTACGAGATTAAAGTTTGCAAGAAAGATTGGCTTATATTCGACGCTTCATATCCAACTTGGTTGGTAGATGTCAACCATTTAGTTGATTGATGAAAAAGGATACGCCTTTTGTTTGGGATGAGTTTTGTAGTAATGCTTTTAAAAGCATAAAGTCTTATCTACTAAGTCCACCAGTTCTAAGGGCTCCTACACCAGGACGTCCATTGATCCTTTATATTGCGACACAAGAACGCTCTTTGGGAGCACTTTTATCACAGTAAAATGATAAAGGAAAGAAAAGTACGTTTTACTACCTTTGTAGAACTTTTAATGGTGCAGAATTAAATTATTCTCCCATTGAGAAGACATGCTTGGCATTAATGTTTGCAATTAAAAAATTAAGGCATTATTTGCAAGCTCACTTTGTTCATTTAATTTCATGAGCAGATCCCCTCAAGTATCTTATGTCAAAATCGATGCTCACTGAGAGATTGGCAAAATGGGCTCTTTTGTTACAAGAGTTTGACATCACATATATCTCTCAAAAGGCCGTTAAAGGACAAGCACTTGTAGATTTTCTTGCAGACCATCCAATTCTAGATAATTGGGAATTCTCTGAAGATTTCTCTGATGAAGATGTTCTCTACATTGAAATCCCTAATCCATGGGAACTATACTTTGATGGAGCAGCTCAACAAGATGAGGCAGGTGCAGGAGTCATCTTTATCACCCCAGAAGGAGAAGTATTACCTTGTGCATTTACTCTCATTGAAAATTGTTCCAACAATGTAGCAGAATACCAAGCCTTGATCATGGGTTTAGAGATGGCAATGGACATGCAAATCACTTAACTTAAGGTGTTTGTAGATTTTAAATTGGTTATAAACCAAGTCCTTACACTTTATGAAGTTAAAAAGCCTGAGCTCTTGCCATATGTCAACTATGTTAAGAAACTTTTGAAGTGGTTTGACAAAGCTAGTATAGAACATGTGCCTAGAAAAGAAAATAGGCAAGCAGATTCTTTGGCTAATTTAGCGTCAGCAATTGCATTGCCAAGTACAGAATTAAAAGTGCCTCTTTGTAAACGATGGATCTTACCACCAATCACTTTAGTTGAAGAGGTCGATGTAAAGTCTAATGTCGTCTCAATCCTTGAGGTGGGAAAAGAAGATTGGCGACAGCCGTTGATCAACTACCTACAGCATGGGAAGTTTTCTAATGATCCAAGGTATAAAACAGAAATAAAGCGTCGAGCTCCTCGATTTATTTATTTCAAAGGTACACTCTATCGTCATTCCTTTGACGGAGTCTTTCTTTGTTGTTTAGGAGATAAAGAAGCATACAAGGCTTTACAAGAAGCTCATTCAGGAATTTGTGGGGCGTATCAATTTGGAGCAAAGTTGTACTTCCAAATGAAAAGAATGGGGTACTATTGGCCAACTATGTGAAGGAAGCATAGACTATGCTAAAAGATGTCAAGCATGTCAATTTCATGCTAATTTCATTCATCAACCCTCTAAGCCAATCCACCCGACAGTTACATCATGGCCATTTGATGCTTGGGGACTCGACTTGGTTGGGCCATTACCTAAAAGTTACACAGGACATCTCTACATACTTACAACCATAGATTACTTTTCAAGTGGGCAGAATCAGCATCTTATCGAGAAGTAAAGAAAGAAACTATTGCTACCTTCATTAGAACAAACGTCATTTATCATTATGGCATGCCACGATGCATCATAACAGATAATGGAAAACAATTCGCAATGGAGAAGTTATGTGCACAGTTTAACTTCAAGCAATATAATTCTTCCATGTACCACGCACCAGCAAATGGGTTAGCAGAAGCCTTTAACAAGACTTTGTGCAATCTTCTCAAGAAAGTTGCTAATTGCGCAAAGAAAGATTGACCAGAAAAAATAGGGGAAGCTTTATGGGCTTATCGTACGACATTTCGTACACCTACTCAAGCAACTCCGTATTTGCTTGTTTATGGTGTGGAAGCTGTTCTCCCATTAGAACGTCAAATCCCATCATTGAGAATTGCCATTGAAGAAGGTCTTTCAAATGAAGATAATATTCGCCTACGCTTTGAAGAACTTGAAGCATTGGATGAGAAAAGGTTGGAAGCACAACAACGCTTGGAATGTTATCAAGCTCGATTGTCCAAAGCTTTCAACAAGAAAGTTAAACCACAATCATTCCAAGTGGGAGACTTAGTTCTTGCAGTGCGAAGACCCATAAATACTACACATCGTATGGGTAACAAGTTCCTCTCAAAGTGGGATGGACCATATGTTGTTCAAGAAGTCTACACTCATGGTGCATACAAAATTGTTGATCAAGATGGAGTAAGAGTTGGCCCAATTAATGGTAGATTCTTAAAACGCTACTACGCTTGAAGGACAGATGCTCCTTGGCAAGAGCTTAAACGACACCCAAAAAAAAAAACTGTTAAGTTGAAAATCCTTAATAGGACGGCTTAGGCAAAAGTTAAGGTAAAAATAAAAAAAAAGCCTACTAACTTGAAAATCCTTAACAGGACGGCTTAGGCAAAACTTAAGGCACAAAAAAAAAAAATAAAAGAAGATATGAACTACGTTATGACTTGATCCTTCTTTATATTAAGAGGTACATAGGTAGCTTGGTCCCATTGCCAAGTTCAGTCACATCAAAAAAGAAAAATCTCTTACATCTAGCATGGCTCAATTCTTTATGATGATGAAGCTACCAAGATAAAAGATCGAAGAATAAATCAAGTTTGTAATTCTTTGTCAAGTTATGTGATTTTATCAATTAAATTGCAATTGCAAGTTGAATTGTTTTGAAGTCCAATTGGTGTCCAAAAAATTTGTGGAATATAAAGTATTTTGAAGGTTTCATAGGATTATCTTTTAAAATTCTTTTCACAACTAAGGAAAAGCAATAAGAGAAGAAAATTAATCTTTATTGCTAATTTGAAATGCATTACAATGGGAAAGAAAATTTTAAAGGTCTAAATCCTAGAAGAAAAAAAAAGCTGCATGAATAAAGAAGTAATCAAATCAAGGCCTCCACTTGAAATTTTTTAGTTCTTCTTGAGAAGATTCGAACATATTCTGCAGCAATTTTAAGGAATTAGCTTTGCTTTCACTCTAAGTAGGAGAAGTCTTGATGGAAGCTATCTTTTCATTAATCTGGAAAATATTAGCTTCCCTCATTTTCACTTCATCTCTATTTGCTTTAAGAAGATTCAATTTCACTGTTCTTGGGATGCAAAGCATCTATTTCCTCTTCAAGATTTGTTAGCTCAGCTTGCAAACCATTAGCCTCCTCAACAAATTTACTCTTAAGAGACTCCTTTGCCTTGAGACGAATAACTAGTTTTTGAAGCTTCTCGTTTTGATCTTTTGTAGATGCACTACTAAAGGATGATTCAAGGTCAATAAATTTGTGAACTTGTCCAAAATATTCTTGAACTGTGTTCCTCAATGAGGATGAATCCACAATCTCAACCCCTTCTATTACAACAAGAACCTTTTGAACCTCAGTAGTGAGAGAAAAAACTTGATCGAAAGGAGTTTTGACAATTTTTCATTGAATACTCTCCCATAAGGTTATGACAAGTTTTAAATGACAATCATGGATTACTTTATCAGCACTAAATTTAGAAGCTTCTGGAAATATAAAATGACTAGCCTCGGCACACAACTCGGTTGTATTCTTAGAAGCATCACCAATCTCCTTAATGATTACGTGAGGAGAAATATTTTCTTGACTTGAGGACGCATTTGAAATCTCTTGAGCAAAGTGGTTTCCTATCTTCGTTGCAAGCTTGTTAAATCCATGTGGATTAGAAACTGAAGCTATGCTAATAGTAAGAACTACTTTATTGACAAACTCCTTGGTTAGATCTTGGCTTAGAAGTCCATTCTTCCAAAGTCATAGTTTTACTGCAATATACTTCTTTAAATAGTTTTATTACAATTCAAGATTATGGTTTTATTGCAATACATTTCTTCAAGTAGTTTTATTGCAATACACATCTGCCAAGATCATAATTCTCTTACCTTTAGGTAAACATAATCCAAATTTAACTTGGATTGCAAGTGCACCAAGGCATATTAGGATTCTAAGAAATCCTAGATTTTTTTTTAAATTTCAAAACTTGTCCACTTTTCACATTCAAAAATCATGCGTGAACAAGTCTTGAGGGGGCATTTGTAGAAGGAGAAAAATTATCAGCTAATTACGTGCCACTATGTGGATTTAATAATATCTTAACCATGTAATTAATTATAAAATAATTAATTTATTGGTTGAAGACATATAATTGAACCAATTCACCTATTGGTATATATTTATCCCTTGAGATTATTTGGAGATAATATTTATATTTTGACCAATCAAATATTAGTTATTGGTCATTCAATTTCTCTTAATAAATCAAAATAATTTAGAGATAGTATTTAAATTTTGACCAATCAAATATTAGTTATTGGTCATCCAATTTATCTTTAAATAAATCAAAATAATTTGGAGGTAATCTTCATATTTTTGACCAATCAAAATTTAATTATTGGTCATTTAAATTATCTTTAATAATTATATTAATTTAGAGATAAAAATCAAATTGAATTATTTAATTTATTTCTAAATAAATTAAGATAATTTGGAGATAATACCTAACTTCGGCCAATCAAAATTCAAGGACTCAAAGCCTGGCCAATCAAAAGACTTTCAATGAGTCATCATAAGTTATCTCTAAATAAATTAAAATAATTTAGAGATAATTTAAAGAGATTTTATTCTCATCAAAGTCTCCCACTTAGCATTATAAATAAGGGGTTTCTCCAAGCCATTTTTATTCATTCGGAAGCATTCGAAGATTGGGAAGCATTCGAAGATTGAGAGCATTTCAGAGATCAAGAAGAATATAAGATTTCTGAAGTGAAGATCAAGCGACGGTGAAGTTCGTGATCAAGATATCAAGTGTTTGTGATCAAGATTAAGTCGTGAAGACACTTGAAGTGAAGATCAAGTGTTCGTGATCAAGATTAAGTCATGAAGACCCTTGAAGCGAAGATTAAGAAAAGTTCATGACTCTTGAAAACGAATTGAAGAAATTAATCAGAAGAATTTTCAGAGATTATCACTCACATCATCAAATATTTGTATTTGTCTCATAATTTTCAAGTCAAGAAATTTTGACGAGAAATTTATGTGTACAATAATATAAAATATTTTCATTTCTCAAGTTTTCTTTCTCTCTCTACCCATCTTTTTCTTCTCCTTCTCTTTTTGCATTTCCCTCTATCACTAGAGGCCGACAGAAAAGGCAAAAGCAGCACCAGTGTCGGTGAAGGAAGTGTCAACCTAGTGTTCCTCGACCAAACCAATTGCTAGATATTGCAATTGAATTTGGCACTCCATGGCCAGATTCGATCGCAGGGAGCATCGATATAGTGCTCTTTAGCTTGATCTGGCCACAAGGAGCGCATATCAACACTCCTTTACCTTGACCGACCACATCACTAGTGGTTAGCCGGTGAGAAGAAGAAAAGAAAATGAAAAAGAAAAATCAAAGTGAATTTAAAATAAAAAAGGTTTAAGTTTTAATTTTAAATTATAAAAAGTTATTATTTTAAACTTAAAAATTATTAAAATTTTAATTATAAATTTGTAATATTTTAATATGTTAAAAATAAATAATAAAATAAAATAATGATGTTAATGTTTTAATTATAAATTATTAATATTTTAAATGAAATATAAATTATTAAAGTTCTATAATTAAAATAAAATCATATTAAAATTCAAATAAATTTTTTTTAATATTTTTAATAAATTATTAAAATAATAAATATTTTAATTTAAAAATTAAATATTCTAGTAAAATGTATTTTTGTCATTTGTCACTTATTTCTTAACTATTTTTATAAGTATCCTACCAACCAAACATTGGAATAATGCATAATAGCAATTTTTGTCATATTTCATTCCCATAAACCAAACTACATAATAATTATTCTTCTCTTATTTTATTTTCACAGAATAGATATTCTATTCCCACTCTATTCCATAAAGTTTTATGTGTGACCACAAGGGATATGTATGGAGTTTACCATAAGTTAATTCCTATACTCAAATATATAGGCAAACCTAGTTAAATCTCAGCTAACAATGAAGATTATTTACTACACTCGAATGTATGAATGGATAACTTGATTAGGTCTCAGCTATTAATCAAAGTCATTTACGATGCTCAAACATCTGAAACAATAACTTGATTAGGTCTCAACTAATAATTAAAGTTATTTACTATACTCAACGTTGTGATCGAATAACTTGATTAAGTTTCAACTACTAATTAAAGTCATTCCTATACTTAAACATGTAAATTGATAACTTGGTAAATTTTAGGCACTAAATTAAGTCCTTTATCAGCCAATAACTCTATAGGTCTCGACAACTAAGTAAGGTTATCTACTATACTCAAACATGTGAATGAAGAACTATTAGCTTTATTATTATTTTGACGTGACAAAATTAGTTTAATTTAATGAACTTTGCAAGTGAAAGATATTTTTATATATGAAGAAAAATATCAAAGGATTGTTAAAGCTGAACTTAATAAAAAAATATTTTGAAATGTTTTAATTGTTTGAACATATTTTTAATATGGATGATCATACTCTTAATTTTCTCAAAAGTCTCTTGTTTTCAAAATTATATGTGCTAGCCCAAAGATCAATTTTTAAAAAGAAAAGACTTGATTCTTGAATGAAAATGAAGCAAAATATATATTTTTTAATTACAGAAAGAATAGATTCCAGAGAAGAATAAGTTAGGTCTCGAGCAAAGATCAACAGTGAAGAATCAATTCTGAGACAAGGAGAAGTCGGTCCTTGAAAGCCAAAAGCTTCAAGAATTGTGAAGAACTGACATCTTAAAGACAAAGAATTAATTCTGGAGAGACAGAATGCGAATGGAGAAAAGAAAAGAAGAAAGAATTGATTTTACAAGGAGAAGAAGCCAGTTCTCGAAGCACTGAAAGTACAACTCAAAAACTTGTTGACCAATAAAGGCATGGCAGAATTAGACAAAAGTAGAGCGGCAAAATTCAAGCTTGAATTCAAATTTTGGCACTAGCCTATAGTGAAGAACTAACACTCTGAAATAGAAGAATTGATTCTTCATAAATAGAAAGCTACAGATTTTATGAAGAACCAACAACTCAATTAGAAAGAGTCAATTCTACACAAGCGACAAATTTGTGGAAGTTGGCTTGAAACTACAAGAAATGATTCAAAACTTACTCTAACGGGAAAAAAAATCTTAAAGGCTATAAATATTTATCTTAAAAACGTTAACGCAAGAAGAGAAGATGATTTTCAAAAGATTTTGAATCATCCTTGAAGAG